TAATAAAATTATCCGAAAACAAAGCGTTCATTCAACCCATTTCTTTGGTTTTGCGGCAATCATCGTTACCGCTAATCAAAKACAAARCAAGAACAATAARATTAYAAAGTGAGTGGTTGGGTAAGTGGCGGGAAACAGGTTAAGATCGTTGTGACGAATATTAAAAAGATGTTCTTGGATATGTCTCTCCGACATACAATAACTTACAAAGCGAACATTAATGCAGTAGACAACTTAAGAAAATGAAATGATATTTGAACGATGCTTAAGGATGGGGGACGTAAGGCTTTGCGCTGTTGTTGTTGTTGTGGTGTTAAAGCATGATAGACGCTTTGTCATTTTATAGTATTTTATTGCATACACGAAACTTAAAAGTTGATGAGAGTTTACTATTCACAATGTCAATGGACTTCGCTCTAGGAGTCACGAGTAATCTAGATATACATGAGTATACTGAATTGTTATATGCATTCACATGATGAAATATAGACAGCCAATTTGCATTGTGTTGTTATGATATTTCAGTGTCGATAAACATTAAAGAACAAGAGATGAAAGTTGAAAAATAGTCGACTACTGCTTGACTGTTCCATTGATGTTTGGGCCCRTAGTTGCTATATAATTTCAAAGTTTAAAAGTGCCGTTTAGATAAATGTACATTCTGTGTTGTAGGTCAAAGTAGAACCAACGATGTTGATACTTTTCAACGTTTTTGTACAACCAGACCAGCTGAGAGATTCTAGTTTTCATTGTTTTATTGCCGGCATGACATACATGTATCTGAGAAGAGAGTACCCATTGTGCGAAAAGTTCAGAGGGACATCCATTTCCTTTGTAGAAGCAGAATAATTGAAATGTCTGTCTATCACTTATTGTTTTTTTCCAGAACAACCTCTTGATCCATTTAGGCCATAGAGCTGCATTAAAAAAAACATCCCCATCAAGCAAATGAAACAGGCATTGTCGTTCGGCAGTATAAGATAGTGAAGTTAGCGATTCGCAGTATTCTGACAGTTAATTTGGGTGTAGAGCGCTTTCAGTGTAATCCATTGATGAGTGAGTCTGTCAATTGATGTCCACTGCTTTTCTTTTACGTTGAAGTCGAAGTCTTGTTACTTGAGAGAATAGATTGTGCACGATTAGCTTTAAGTCTCACCTTAATGAGGCTTTCACTATGCAATACCGAAAGCTAAAGACTGACGAATAATGTAGTAATTAATAAAGACAAAAGAAAGTCGAAGTGGAGCAAAGGTGCTAAATTATGGAAATTACTATTGTTTGTGCGGGAAATAAAGTGCGCAAAATATTAAGTTGAGCACTTTCAGCTTTGTGAACGTAACAGTTAAGTCATCAAGATGCWTTTTTGTGGGAGTAATGGTAAAGTCTATAGAAGTGTTTACGCACAAGCTGGAGGTGGAAAGATGATAGATAAAGGTRTTCAATGTGGAAAGAATTGCTCAAGTTATAATCGCAAGAGAAAGCACACGTTCGCCTTCATCCGTGAAGCGGAAGATGATAAACGCTGGACTTATGACGACCTTAAAGACGAAGTGTTAGGAAGCAAAGAGACTTTACTGCATTGGTTGTTTGAAAAAGAACTAATAGCAAAAGAAAGGAAATGTCCTGTTTGCAAAGATCATATGGAGCTCGTCGAATGCAACGACAGATCTGATGGTTTTAGATGGGAATGCMGTAAGAGATCGAAGTCAGAAAGTCAYGAAAGAGTGATAAGCRTCARGAAAGGTAGCTGGTTTGAAAAGAGCAACATGACATTAGATGAAATTGTCAAATTCACTTATTGGTGGTGTGAGGGTCTTGAACAAGCGCAAATTAAGAAACAGCTAAAGATCAATCCTACTACTGCCGTTGACT